AGCTATTTTCATTTTATATAGAAAGAACTCCCAACAGATGGTTGAAGATACATGTGAAAAGAACAGAAGAGAACAGAAAATGACACGAAATCCCTCTCACACTGCTAACTGGAAGCCCGTTCTTGTCTGCCATTTAGTACTTACACACCTCAAGGCCCAGATTATTAAAACAAATAATGTGGAGGTGCCGGTATTGGACTGAGATGGATAAAGTCAGAAATCACATAACATCAGGTTATAGTCCAATAGGTTTATTTGAAATCACAGACTTTCGGAGAGCTGCTCCTTCGTCAGGTGAAGCTTGTGATTTCAAATAAACCTGTTGGACTATAACCTGGTATTGTGTGATTTCTGATTAAAACAAATGAGAGAGCGACATGAGCTAGCAGTTACAGAATTATACCAGTTGATGGCAGGCTCCAACAGTTTTATTGACTAATATTTTGTATGCATGTCTGGTCATTTTGGAAACATGAAACATTGACTCTGAACCACACGATTTGGCAACAATTGCTTTAAAACAGTGATGTTTGTGGGAAGTTTCACAGAGGTAGAATATGCATTTGTAGGAACTGGCAAAGTGGAGGTAGTGATTACCTCTGAGCATTATCTCTGGGGAAAATGGTCATTGCATACTGCCTGGATCAACATGTGAATGCAGATTGATAATGTTATTGTAAACAGAGCTGGAAGCACTCAGCTACAAGAACCAAAGTAAGTTATTTTGGTTTTGCAGATAATAGGAGACACTACTTTTCACCATTATCTTTGCTCTTCTAATTAGCCCAGAGTTTCATGATGTTCACTATATGGAACTTTGTTACTACATTTTAATTTTACAGTAGACTTCATAGCATGCATTGCATGACAAATTTTATTAGGCACATGCACACACAGTTAACAAAGTGATACACACTGGTGTTGACATTAATATAATTTTGAAAATATTAAGAACATTACATTGAAACCTGAATTTTTTTCAAATTGAGCTTCATCACACACTTGAAACTTTTCTTCCCCCCTCTGGATAAGGATCAAGCCTAGCAATACTTTGCTGCAAGACCTCTACTCTTTTCATGTCTCCCTTTGTTTTGTGACTAGATCAGAGGACAGTAATCCAGGCATGTCTCAGCAAAGCACTCCATATTCTATTGTCATAGCTATACACACATCAACATCCAGTTAGCTTTCTTAATTTCTGCTCTGCATTTGTTGGACATTTAACCAGTACTATCTAGAAGGACAAGGGCAACAGAAACATGGAAACACCACCATCTACAAGCTCTCCTCCAAGTAGCTCACCATCCCAATGCAGGAAGTTCTTTGCTGCCTGACCTGAACACACAACATTAATATTTTGCTTTTAGTAAGTGACTAATAATATTATTTGATTTACTACATACAACCCAAAAGGAGATCAACCACTTGTTTTTTCCAAAAATGTGGTATATTTTTCCTGCTAACTTTTTTGATAATAATTTCTGTGCACCCAAATATGAAAAGAAGTACCTAACATAAACCAGGACAGTCTGTATCTGTACTCTTGTCCTAATAGAGGTATTTCATTGACACCAATGGCAGGAATGAGAAATTACAGTGCAGCAAGCTTAGACAGAAAGTTTCATGATAAATGAGGACTAAGAATTTACGATGGAAATATATAAGTCTTGTATTCTGTTCTGATTTATCAATCTTTTACTCCAAGGGGATGGCATGACAAGCTCATAGTGCTCTCACAGGCCCAACTATTAAACCTCGGGTGTTTCAAATCCTGGTCCTTAATTGTGAAATGTTAGTTAGTTTTCTGCACAGAATTGGTAAAAAGCAGCTACCAACCAGCATTCAAGCAGCTAGCCACCACTAGCTACACTAAGGGAGGCCTCCAAGACAGCCTGCAAGTTGCAGAGAGAGAGTTTCAGAGGCTCTTGTAAAGGTTAAATGGTTGCTTCCTTATGCAGACAGTAGTATATTTCTGTTCCACTTGGCCCCACCAAGTAAACATTTCAGCTTGCAACTTCAGACCTCTTGGTCCTCCCAACAGCTCCTGGCCTGTTTCAACATGTGAGGAGAGTTATCAGACAGTTTCACAGCAGAAGGGCAGCCCCAGTGAGGCTGGATAACACCTTTACCAGCAGGAAGGGCTCAATCAAAAAGGCTTGGAATGTAGCTTCAAGTTTCACATTGCACAATATACTTTTGGGCCTGCAGCTGTGCTTACATTACCAGATAGATTTTTGGCTGCACCCAAGGTACACAATTATAGTCAGTTGTATCCCTTTATCACAAAATACACTACATCTGTAGAAACCTATTTCCTAGAGCATATTTATCCTGCACTTGAACAGCAAATAATGATTACCAAGACAGAAAGCCATTTCACCCAAGGAAATTATACCATTCAAAGAAAATATTAAATGTTTAAAGCTCATGTGTGTATCATTCTGAACATGAAAAACCTAACATTTAACTTAGATTCTCAAAGCAGATTGGAAAATAGCTGGTGTAACACTATTATTCCACAAGTAGGATGGCAAAAAGCAAAGTACAGAATGAATTTTCCCATTTGCAGTTGAAATATGGTGATGATTAGGTCCTTCCTGACCTGGGATGTATTTTCTCATGCAATCTTCCACTTTTCACCTCATTAATTATGCAGCTGAGATGTTGAGTGATTTTTCTTGGCTTACATGCTCTGGTGCTATATTTAAAGTCCACCCGCACACCATGAACAATCTGTCAAACACCGTGCTCAACACAGAGAATGTTGCAGAGGGAAAACAAGTTAGCTCCCCACTTCTGGGCTGGAACCTGGACTTGCTGGTGGAAGGGATGTTGGAGAAGAGGCCAATGTTTCTTCCTGCTGACTGCCAATGAGATCATGCCACCAAACCTAGCTAGCCTGGACTTATAATACTGACCCATGCTGTAGTTTAAGTCAGAAGGGACACTCAGCAGTGTCAAGAAAAAGCCTTTGATCTTCCACAGTTTGCAAGGGCAAGTGTTACCATGTTCTCTTGCTACTTTACGCTCATAGAGCCAGCACTCACTAATTCTGCCACTGCGCACACATCTCATTGAGAGGCTTATGGACAACAACCTTCAGCATTGCATGCATCATATCCATTCAATAGCTCTCATTCACATCACCCTCCCAAATTTCTAGCCCTTCATGCCTTCTGTACTACCAATGCACTCATTGCGATACCTCACCCCATCTCATGCTCATGCATCCACTTCCACCATACTCAATCCTTCTCTATCTCACTGCAGGTAGAAGTGCCTCACAACTGGGCTGAGAAATCCAACACCAGTTGGAGATATTGGGCATCAGTCACCTCACTCCTTATGAGGAGAAAACTCTGAATTTGGCCAAAGAGCCAGGCATGCATTTGATGTTGGGAAGACCCACCAATGGCCAACCAACCCTGCAAATTTCATTGTTTTGAGAGAGCAGCACAGTACAAAGAGCATTAACTCATTTGTAACCTGTGGGAGCAATTATCCTTCTTCTCCAACTAATTTCCACTCACCTCTTATGCAGGCACAATCAGCAACGAGCAAACAGCCACAAAAAGGCCAGTGACTCTCAGCTTTACCTCCGTCTCTGAGGAGGAAGCCAGAAAGGTCTCAAACGTTGCACCAGCAAGGCATTCACTGCACCCTCCACTAGCAGAGAGACTTTCACCTCAGCAGGTATTCTATTTAGATTAGACTTTGATGCACATTCTGGTGAGTATATCACTGATGCATCAGCAGGGGCATAAGTGCTCTAATTACACCTGCCAGCTTCTCAATATCAAAGCTTTTTTTAAACTCCACCCCAAAGAAAAATCTTTAATTTATCCTGCCAACTTAGCACAGGAGTTACCCTGAACTGTTTGAATGCCCTCTACAAGAGCTGCCACTCCTCTCCCATTCACTACTGAGGCCGTACTGTAAACCTGTAATTGTCCCCATCATTGACCATTCCCTTAGAGACCCAGTATAATGAAACCAAATCTCCAGACTGGAGTTGCCTATATTCCCCAAGACTCCATGGACTGCCCCCTGACCAAAATTCCATTGATGATCATGGTTATCACCCTGAAATGACTTTGTGGGACATCCCCAACTGATATCATAGAATACTATACAATATCATAGAATCCCTACAGTGTGGAAACAGGCCATTCAGCCCAACAAGTCCACACCACCCCTCCGAAGAGCATCCCACCCAGATCCATCCCCGTAGCCCTACACTTCCCATAGATAATCCACCTAACCTATACATCCCTGAACACTGTGGACAACTTAGCATGGCCAATCCACCTAACCCGCACATCTTTGGACTGTGGGAGGAAACCGGAGCAAACCCATGCAGACACAGAAAGAATGCACAAACTCCACACAGACGGTTGCCTGAGGGTGGAATCGAACCCAGGTCCCTGGCGCTGTGAGGCAGCAATGCTAACCACTGAGCCACCGTGCCGCCCTAACTAATCATGGCCCAGGCCCTGGACTGATATCTCAATAGCACCCTATTTAACCTACTTCTAATTCGCGGACTGTTTTCACTTGACCTGCATAGGACTGACTATCATCCATGGTCCAGGCTGCATGCACATGGATCCCTAGGCTCTTTAGGACCAAGTAAGTGTGTGACTGACAATGGCAGACCTCCTGAACCGGGATAGGATGAGCTCCTTGACCAACAGTGGCAATACTCCTGACTAATTGCAATCCACTTTCATCCTACTAAAGACTGGTCCCCTCAATTTTTCCATATCACCATTTGTTTGAAGCACATGCAGTGTTTCTTTTTCTTGTAAGCTGTTGGCACATGCTGCAATTGAGTCTTTGATGTAGCATGATGCCTTGCAGGGACATGTCCACCCCATCTGACTGATAGATTGACTGTTCAGTGATCTCCACCAACGTAAGCTTCCTGCCTCACCCACTGCACTAAAAAAAAGCTAAATTACAGATGCTGTCATCCTTTCACAGAGCTAGAGACCTTGTGTGCTAAGAAAACCATGCAAGCCACAGAGGCTGGCAGCCTGTAACTAAGCACTAAAAACCTCGTACACTAAGTAAGCAATTTGGCCCACATAGAAGCTGGCAGTCTTTAACTCAGTGTTAAAGTCAGTGTGCGCTAAGAAATATGAAGCAGACTGAGGCTGGCAACCTTCAAGTAAGTGATAAATGAGTGAGCAATAAGAAAGCAAGTTAAGAGATATAAGACGCATATATATCCATGCTAACAGAGCATCTTTTGTAAGTGTGATTAGATGTTATTATGGCATTTAATCATTTTCATCATTTTCTTTTTGTTCTGTTGTATACCAGGTAGAAATTCATCTGGACTGGTCTGCGGCCAGAATCAACAATGTAAAGAGAATACAGAAGCCAACCAGGATAACTAAGGTTGGTTATGAATTGCACCATTTTAATTATCATTCCTTGTTGGACCATAATTGACAATCACAAATCAAACAGAGGAATGACAAGCCATTTAGCTTGCCAACAGCAGCCTTGAGGCAGTGTCATGAGCTTTGAGTCTGACTGTGATATACTAATGAGATAGTACATATCATCACAGGAAGGCTTGCAATGTCTTAGTCTTTTTTGCAGCCTCACGGCAAGATGAAGCAACATCAAGATGCCTTTAGGGGAGATGGTGATGTAGTGGTAATATCACAGAACTAGTAATCCAGATGATGATCATGTTAGTGATCCGAGGACATGGACTCAAATCTCACCTTAGCTGTAGGTGGGATTTAAACTCAATTAATAGAAAAAACTGTAACTGAAAGCTCGTCTCAGCAAATGTAACCATGAAACTACGATTGTCATAAAAATCCATCTGGTTCACTATTGCCCTTTAGGGAAGAGAAGGATAACCTTACTGAGTATTTGATTCGATTTATTATTGTCACATGTACCTAGGTACTGTGAAATGTTTTGTTTTGCATGCAATACAGGCAGATCATACCATACAAGGCACACTAGGATAATACAATAGAGTGAGGAATACAATGTTATGGCTGAAGAGAAAGTGCACAAAGAGCGAGATCAACATTAAATTTAAAATTTGAGAGATAAATTCAGAAGTCTAATGACAGCAAGGAAAAAGCTTTTCTTCAATCTGTTGGTACTTGTGTTTAATCTTTTGAGTATTTTGCCCGATGGAAGACGTTGGAAGAGGTGGGATGAGTCGTTGACTATGTTCCCGAGGAAGCGAGAAGTATGGATCCAGTCAATGGATGAAAGCACCATGGATAATGTGGACCATGTGATTCCAGATCCGCAGCAATGTGATCAACTGTAAACTGCTTGCTCTTTAAAATGGCATAGCCATTCAGCATAAAAGCGATTAGGGATGGGCAACAAATGCTGGTCTTGCTAGCGATGCCTTCATTTATGAAAAACAAATTAAAAGTTAATGTTTTCCTTACAACAGAAGACTGACAGGGAAGCTGATAGACCTGAAGGATAAATCACCCAGAGCAGAATCCTTACAGTGTGGAAAGAGACCATGCAGCCCATCGAGACCATGCAGCCCATCGAGCCCACACAGACCCTCTTACCCAGACTCAGACCTCACCCACCTCTATTCCTATAACCCCGTATTTGCTATGGCTAATCCACCTAACATGCATATCCTTGGACATTAGAACAATTTAGCATGGCCAATCCACCTAACCTGCACATCTTTGGACTTTTGGAGGAAACTGAAGCACCTGGCAGAAGCCTATACAGATACAGAGAGAATATGCAAACTCCACACAGACTATGTTCCACCCAAGGCTGGAATTGAACCCAGTCCCTGGCAGTATGAGGCAACGGTGCTAACCACTGGGCCACTGTGCCACCTTTTGTACCAGATGCCACTAGATAGATAATACCCCAGTTCTGCAGGAAATAGCTGAGAAGATTATAAAAACTTTGGTGGTGACCTTTCAGGAATCACTGGAGTCAGGGAGGGTCCCAGGTAACTGGAAAAAGGCTCATGTAACACTTCTGTTTAAAGAAGGAGGGAGGCAGAAGGCAGGAAACTGTCGGTAAGATTTTAGAGTCCGTTATTAAGGTTGGGATATGGAGAACCTGAAAGTGCATTGTAGAGTCGGAATGTGTCAAGATGGCTTTGTCAAGGGAAGTGCATGGCTGATAAATTTGTTAGAATTCTTTTAGCAGGTAACAAGCAAGTCAGATGAAAGGGAGCCAGTAGACGTGATCTATTTCAATTTCCAGTAGACCTTGGAAAAAGTGCCGCACGGGGGGCTGCTAAATAAGATAACAGCCTATCATGTGCGGGGCAAGGTACTGGGAACAGATAGAGGATTGGCTGACTGGCAGAAGTGAGAGAGTAGGGATATAAAGATCTTTTTCAGCCAGTGACTAGTAGAATTCCACAGGGGTCAATGTTGGGACTACAACTACTCACATTATACATTAAAGATCTGTACAAAGGAACTGAGGATATGTTGTTAACTTTGCAGATGACACAAGGATAGGTGGAGGGACAAACAGTGTTGAGGAAGTGGGAGGCTGCAGAATAACTTGGACAGGAGAGCGGACAAAAAAGTGGTTGATGGAATATAATGTCGGAAGGTGTGAGGTTATGCACTTTGGTAGGAAGATAATGTGTAGACTATTTTCTAAATGGGGGAAGGCTTCAGAAATCTGAAGGACAAAGGAATTTGGGAGTCCTACTTTAGGATTCTCTGAAGGTTAACATGTAGGTTCAATTGGTGGTTTGCAACATTGGCATTCATTTCAAGGGGGCTAGAATTCAAGATCACGGATGTACTGCTGAGGCAGTATAATGCTCCTGTCAGACTGTATTTGAAATATTGTGAACAGTTTTGGGCCCCATATCTAAGGAAAGAAGTGATGGTGATGGAGGGGGTCCACAGGAAGTTTACAAGAATCATCCCAGGGATGATGGGCTTATTATTTGAGGAGCGGTTGAGGACTCTGGGTCGGTACTCAATGGAGTTTAGAAAGGTGAAGGGGGGATCTGAATGAAACTTACAGAATACTGAGAGGCCTGGATAGAGTGGACATGAAGATGTTTCCATTATTAGGAGATACTAGAACCTGAGGGCACAGCCTCAGAGTGAAGGGATGACCCCTTGGAACTGAGATATTTCTTCAGCTAGAGAGCGATAGGGTTTTCTTTGTCCTCTCTACTATCCCAAAGCATCCACAGCCAGAAGATCACCAACCGCCATTTCTGCCACCTCCAGCGAGATGCCACCACCAGACACATAGTCTCCTCTCCTCCCTTGTGCATCTTCCACAGGGACTATTCCCTCCAAGACACTTTTGTCCACTCTTCCTTCACTCCCATCAACCCCATAGCACCTTCCCTTGAAACTGCCGAAGGTGCAACACCTGCCCATTTACCTTCTCCCTCTTCAGTTTCCAAGGGCCCAAACATACTGTACAGGAGAAGCAGCACTTCACCTGCATTTCCCAGAATCTAGTCTACTGTATTCACTGCTCACAATGTGGTCTCCTCTACACTGGGGAAACAAAGCGTATACTGGGTGACCGCTTCACAGAACATCAATGTTCTGCCCGCAAAAGAGACCCTGAGCTTCCAGTTGCCTGCCACTTTAACACACCACCCTAATCCCTGGCCAACATCTCTGTCTCAGGCTTGCTGCAGTCTTAGCAAAACTCAGTGCAAGCTAGAAGAACACCATCTCATTTTCCGCTTGGGGACCCTGCAGCCCTCTGGACTCAATGTCGAGTTCAATAATTTTAGGTCCTGAACTTTCCCATGTCCCAGCCCCGTACTCCACGCACCAGGCCTTGTTATCACATAGCCTGCCGTTAAACATTACCTATTGTTAGCCACTAACAGTTTCCATTAACAGCTATTCACCCTCCTAGCCAGATTGTGACCAACTCCTTTGTCTGTCCAACTGTTCTTCTCTCTGTTTGGGTTCATTCCCCACCTATCGTTTACTCCTTACCCCCTCCCCCCACCCTATCTTCTGCATATAAACTGACATATTCCTAGCTACCATCAGATCTGAGGAAGGGTCACCAGACCCAAAACGTTAACTCTGATTTTTCTTCACAGATGCTGCCAGATCTGCTGAGCTTTTTCAGCAACTTCTGTTTTTGTTCCTGGTTTACAGCATCCACAGTTCTTTCGGTTTCCTTGTCTGAGATGCTTGGCCTGCAACAATCATCCTCTGTACAAGGCATGACTCCAACTAATGGAGAGTTTACCCACAAATCCGCTGGCTTTAGTTTTATTAGAGTTCCTTGTTGCCATAGTTATAGAGTCATAGAGTCATACAGCATAACAGACCCTTCAGTCCAAGCAGTCCATGTCAACCAAGTTCACAACCTAAACGAGTCCCTCCTGCCTGTACTTGGCCCATATCCCTCCAAACCTTTCCTACTCATGAACTTACCCGAATGTCTTTTAAATGTTTTAATTGTACCTGCATCCTCCACTTTCTCTGGCAGTTCATTTCATACACAAACCACACTGAGTAAAAAAATTTGTCCCTCATGCCCTTTTTAAATTTTCTCCTCTCACCTTAAAAATACGCCCTCTAGTTTTGAACTCCCCTACCCTAGGGAAAAGACGCTTGCTATTCACCTTATCTATGCCCTTCATGATTTTATAAAACTCAATAAGGTTATCTCTCAACCTCCTATGCTCCAGTGAAATAAGTCCCAGCCTTTCTAGTCTATCTTGGTCAAAGGCTGCCATCGTGTCAAGAGGAGTCATTTTCAACTTACTTTTGAAATTCAGTTCTTTTTGGTCATGTTTGGTCCAAGGCTGTAAAAAGGTCTGGAGCCAAGTGACCCTCAAAATAAGCGTTAGAGAGGAGGTTATTGCTGTGTAAGTGCCACTAAATTGCATCATCAATCGTTTTGCTGATGATTGAGAGCAGACTGATGAGTTGTAATTGGTTAGATTGAATTTGTCCTTCTAGTCAGGGAATACTTGAGCAGTTTCCACATTATCAGTTGGATGCCAGTGTTGCAGCTGTACGGGAAGAGCTTTGCCAGGTTTGTAGCTAATTCTAGGGCACAAGACTTTGACACTACCATCAGGATGTTGTCAGACCCTTTGTTTTAGCCAGAATCACCTTTAGCAGTTGATTGATAACATGTGGAACATACCAAATTGTCTGAAGACAGGCGCCTATGTTACTGGGCAAGATGAATCATTAACTCTGCCATTCTGGTTGAAGTTCATTGCCAATGTTCAGCCTTGACTTGTGTTAATATGCTGGTGAACCAACATTCAGGATGTTATGTTTGCGCAGCCTCCTCATTCAGTTAGTTGTTAAGTATACATACCCACAAGTATACACAACTGAACAGAGCAGATCTTGAAGCTTCTATCTGATCCATTGATTATCTTGTTGAGAACACAAGAATTAACCTTC